TTTGAGAATTTTTTTAACCGTTCATATCGACTATATTTATAGTTTTACGCCTACACAAACTTTACATCTAAGAGAAATACAACATCGCAAACATTAACTTAAAACACAAATTAAATTCTAATTTTTGCTTTTATGAGGGATCATAACAATAATGTGAATTGTTCAGTATATAATGCATAATATAGATATAATGTGGATGCTGGACTAATTGCGAAAGGCCAAAAGTTGGCTTTTATCTTTTAACCATCCCATTTATTTTCCTTTTATTTACAGCAAAAAGACAACAATATCCCGGATATTCATTTTTTGTTGGTATTAATATTGTTTAACTCGCTTAAGAGAAGTATGCTAAAGATATTTTTTTACAGCAGCGATGTTGTGCCTTATGTGAACAAAATATCGGTAAATATATTGTACTAAAATGAAATTATTTATTACCCTGAGGAAAGGTTATTGAATTGTTATAACATATCTGTTCAATTATCCAGACTTTAGGATCCATTTGAGGGTCATTAATTTGACAGCTGCATATCGGTACCCAGAAGACGTCTGTTTTTAGACTTAATTTGAGTTTTGTAGTATTTTGACGTCCAGTAGACGTCCATCTTATGTCATTATTTATTTAGGTTACAAGATAATACCTATCTATATACATTTTCTTTTTTTATATAAAATTGGTCATTAAGACTTGACCAAATGAATCTGCTGCATTTTATTCTATCAGCAGAAGTTTATAATATTATAACCATGTCCAGTAAAAAATTTAAAGTGGCTCCCTGGTCGAGATAATCTAGCGGTTGAAGGCGTAGATTATTAACGGACGTGTCGTGCGTTCGGTCCTCGCTCAGGTAAAAGGATAAATAAAAAGAAATGGTGTGTAGCGGATTGTAAAAATAATAAATAAAATTATTGTTAATATAAAATGCTGTGTGGTGAGTTGCGGTTGTGTAAAAAAGATGGAGGATATGGTCTTCAGTATTTATATAACCCAGAAAGGGACATCCTCTGAATGGTCAAAAGGGTACCATTTGTATATTCCATTGGATGTCGGAAGTTCAGAAAAAACTCATTTTGGACGTCCAGACATCCAATATTGTATATCAAATGGAGGTCCAATGGACCAGTTTGCTCTGTCTAGGCGTTGTATGAAGATTATATAGTAGGATAATGCAACAGTAAAAAGTGTTGGACGCAATCTCGAGCGGCATCTAGTGACGATTTAATGAAGTAGTCAATTTTTAATCCTATGCAGATACGCCATCTACGTCTTCTTTTCGTTCAGGTACATGGCCTCTATCACCTACCTATTATAGTTAAAAACGTCTTTATTTATTTAAAAATAACAATTCATAATAAAAGATATGAAAAATTAAACATAATAATGAAAATTTATTCCAGTTGACAAAACCGTACAAATATAATTTTTGGATTAAGGTGATAAAAAGTGGTTAAGGACTTTGGTTTTGGTTATGTGCGGTTATGTCAAAATATATAAACAATAACAACTGATAACAATTTCCAATGTTTTAAATAAATTGAAAAGTTCCAAGTAGAATACAAAAAAGGAATAAGCTTCTGAAAATGTTGCATGTAACCTAAGTACCTCTAATTGGACTAAGTGTTGGAAAAGTTTATAACCATAAAAATAGCTGAATATTTTTATAGTTTTCAAAATTTGAACAAGCTTTGCTACAAAATTTTACTAAAGCTATCAACAGTTTGCAAGGTATTGAGTTAAGGAACAAGAAAATCACTAATCAGGGAAAAATCAATCAACAATCAACACTGGAAAACAAATTAAAAAAAATAGTCACAGGGATATATTAGCGACTTCCAAATGTATCTTGGCTGTTGACCATGAATATAAGAAAAAATGTTCTCTCGGCTGGCTCTGAGTGTTGAAATAAATCACGTTGAAAGGAAGTTTTCAATAGCTCCGCTCTTTAGGAATAGCTCAAGACGAAATCGATAGACCTACAAGTGGTCTATCTGTGGCAGACATATTCAGTTAGTCTTTATATTTCATTATGCAATGTTACAAGGTTCAACAACTTGCCAAAATGGTGAAAATTTATTTCCAAAATCAGTGCTCTTATTTAGTACAGAATTCTACGAACGACACAATAATTATAAAGTCCTAACTTTGAACATAAAAGAAAATCTTATAAAAAACATTTTTTTTATAAATTATCACTGTTTGGAAAAGTATATTTGTTTGTAAATATTTGTATTTATAGTTATATTTAATCCAGGTTAAGTGTCAGTGCGGAGTGTAATGTTAAGTATGAACAAAATCCGCCCATTCTGTTTATACATTTGGTTACCGACCCTAGTAGATAGGCAATTTATTATTAGGTACTTTTAATTTAGATTTTGGATTAATGTTTTTGTATATGACTGGGCTGTTTAGTAATAAAGTCAAAACTGTAACACGTGGTTTTATTCTGGAAAGTATTTTTAAATTGAATCACGTCCGCAGTTTGAGTGAAAATGTTTTAAGTAGTTCAAAAAACAATCACTATTTTTAATTGTTTATAGAATACAGCCTTTTAGTTAGCTCAGACCGGGGCTCAGACAAAACTGATTAAATAATATGTCTTATTATTTTTTGAATTTTTTTTATTTCGACTGGTTGACTATCTAAAAAATTAAAGCCAATCAAGCAAAACGTGAGTAACATTTCGCTTTTTTAGAAGAACCAGAACGCAAGTGAAAATTAATGATTCCACAGAAATAGCAAATAAAAAAAATGTAATATGAAACTTATAACTAAGGCGTTAAGGAAAAGTTTGGAAATAATCGAGATAGCAAATTTATTTTAGTTTTAGACAGAACTACTTTATTTTGTTCTTTTTAAATTGAAGATTTATAGGCTGGAGAAGCGATTTGAAATCGGTAAAACGATCGCCCAAAAACGCTCTTAAACCCCCGTCCACAAAATCACTGGTGACCAGTGTAATTTATAAATATATTCACACATAAATTTACAAGTAAATTAAACATCAAAATATTTAAGAATAGCAATATAAATAATTGTCATTGATTGAACTGAATATTCTGTCCAATAGGCTCTCGACCGAAGTCCTTTCCCTTTTTAGAATATCTTTCAAATTCAACAATTTTACATGTTTTGTTCCAACGCGGATTTTAATAATAGATTTATAAATTGTTTTTGTTTATTTGAATGTTAAAAGTTCTTAAAACTAACTTTAACATATATTTCTCATGCTGGCGTTTAGTGTTCAAATAATGAGACGATTAAACGAAAAAGGCTTATGAGAGCCAGTTGCCCATTTTTGGTACACATTTGTGCATGACAACTTTACAAATGTTTCCTTCTTTTTCTCTTGTAGAAGATGGACACACCAGCAGTGGAGCGCACAATGATGGTATTTTTAAAAGCCACGTCATATATTTGATTAGATAATTAACTTGATATAAGTGCCTTCAAGACTTAAGTCGTTAAGCGTTCAAGTTTGGATTTCCCGGATTCAATTACAGATAAAAACATTCTTTTTTATTTTGGAAAAAATATAAAAAATACAATTAATGCAATGTTTCTGCTAAATTTTATAGTATTTTGATAACAGTTCAGAAAAAATAGTAGTAGTTGGTAACTGAACTTTATGAAATCCAAAGTTGAGCACTTAACGTCCTGAGCAATGAAGGTTTATGTCAATGTTAATTATCTAATCAAATATGTAACTTTCGCATTTTCTATAATTTATTTTTTAAGACGCCTTCGTTGAGCGCTTCATCACTGTAGGGCATGCAGGAAAGTATTTCCATGTACAAAAAAATAAATGAAAAATTTGTAATTTTGCCTTTCGAAAATAATACTCCTAAATGTGCTATCATAAATTGGTACTCGATTCGTTTTCAAATGGTGATAAAAGTTGAAAACTGAAAATTAGTGGCTTAAATGTTTTTATTACTTAGTATAATTTCACTAAAAGTGTTTGGTATTATAAGTTTACCTAACAGCAAAAAAAACTGTTAGTTAAATTTTGTCAGTGCCGATTTTAGTAAAATTATATTGAATAAAAAAATTATAACTACCTACACCTTTATATTTACCCATTATTAATTTTTTAATTTTCAACTTAACATCCTGTATTTCAGAATATTTTATCCAAGCATTTTTTATTTTTGTCTATTCGACTCATTTTGAACAATAATCTTCAGTTGTTCGTGTCCTATTCTTAATTTGATACCAATTATATAAAAGTGAATAAAAATAAACAGCGTAAAATTCAAGTTTTAATTAACCATCAGCGATCAATCCAAAATCAAACCACAATATAGAAAAAAAAATGTTCCCCTATTATAGTAAAATTCCATCCAATCTTAAATCATTCAATCTTTTTCAAACAAAAACTGGTTTATTTTATTATATTGATTTTTTTGGTATTTTATGTGACCTTCAAATACCCTTTTCTAATAATTTGCAATAGTAAATATTAACTATACAAATACATTACCGAAGACAAGTATAAATGAAAAAGAAGATTTTAAATTATAATTCATACTCAAGCACAGACATGACCTAAAGACCTGACTTGGATATAAGTACAGTGTCGCCATCTACATTCTATATCCATCGTCCTCCAATGATAAGTCCATAAGGTTACCCTACTATATAATCTTCATACAACGGTCTAGGTAGGGTATGTTCCTGTTCTTGTTATAAATTGAAATCAATGTTAACACTCCAATTTAATGGGTCGAAATAATAGTGCTATTTTGATTGCAGGCATGTCGAGTCTTATCTCGATAATCTTCGGTTATACCTTAAATAAGTTTAAATGATTTAAAACTTCATAAATATATTTGCATTGACCACTCTGTATAACGGATACGATTCTCTCGAACGAAAATGTGGGACACCTGTTGCGCGTAGTGAAAGTTTCTACTTTACGGTTGTTTTTATTTATTATTCGAACACCTTGAACTTGATTCGAGGCTTGCCATCTACCGGATAAACTTGAACTTGCACTTACCGGTGCCGACCTCCTTCAGAGTGTGGGCATTGATCGCTTCTCTGTGAGGATCGACAACGAACTCTAGTGTACCGCCTGGATGGCCAGATGGCGCGATGTGCATCAATAGACCCGGATAGAGAAATCCCATGTTCCATTTTAAGTTTCTTTTGGAGAATACGTAGCTGAAGGAGTCGATGATGCCTCTGAAATAAGGAAAAATGTTAACATTTTAGAGCAGATATTTGTTAGTTAAAATTTTATAACAATGGTTTAAAATCCAAAATTTCATTGTTTTCATATAAATTATCTGATGTTTTCCAACATATGAATTTCCACTAAAATTAGATTTTGGTCGAAACAAAAAATTTACTTTTAATTGAATATCTCCAATATGGGTTATTTTAGGGACATCATGTATACAATAATTAAAATTATAGATACTGACATCACGAAAAACTTTTAATCGAAAAACTTTTATTCTAAAAATTTTTAATCGAAAAACTTTTTTCTCCAATTGTTAATCACAGAAATATACCAATAAGTAGAAAAAAGTATATCCCCAGTTACTCAGAATATGTTTAAAATATAATTTGTTCTCCAGGGACCTCTGAAAACACACTTTAGGGATTAAGATTTTCTGGGAGAGTGATTCAGTCTCTAATGGAGATGTTGCAATGTAATGAGAAGATGGACCTAAGATTTTCCAATACTTTGGAATGGATATACATATTTGTATCTAAGTATATTAAATTGAGAAACTGCTGCTTCAAGAAAACACAAAATATCCGTGTTTGGTGCTGCCAAGTTTTTTGATTACTTTATTTTTATGATGTTTGTTTGTTTTTGTATTTTAAAATGGACAAAAGTAACTATTTTAATACCCTTTCAAAGGAAATGAAAGAACGTTATTTAGTAAAATTAATTCTAACAAATAAAGTGGACCCATATCTTCTAAAATTTAGCCAGTATAGTACAAGGCTGCAAGATTTTCCAAACATATCGTTTTTTAACATTATAGATTATCTTATTAACAAAAAAAGTGCTTTTACTGAAAAAGAGTTTCGAGTTATGGTTGCAGTACAGCGAACCCTGCGTAACTCGGTGTCAGAAGAATGCAAGATTGCATTCTCACGTTCATTCTATCTTCCCTTTTTTTTTATGTGAAACAATTCATTATTAATTTAGAATTCATTGAAGAGTTTCGAGTTATGGTCGCAGTACAGCGAACCCTGCGTAACTCGATGCCAGAAGAATGCAAGATTGCATTCTCACGTTCATTCCATCTTCTCTTTATTTTATGTGAAACAATTCATTATTAATTTAGCATTCAGTGTAGTAACTAGTAATAACATTTATATTCTTTGAATTTGTTTTTAAAAAGTTATTTTGGACTTAATCACATTTATTTTTCGTGCTTTTAAATCCTTGGATGCACATAATTTTTTTTATGTAAATGGGTAAAGAAATTAGCGGTGAAAAAAATTTCCAATTCTGAAAGGATTCTTGTTATTTCACAAGTTTTGCTAATTCTGGGATATCCTGTATAAACAATTTCTTTTTGTTTTAGGTAATGCAATCGCAGTGACTTAATCTACCTCCCTTGAATGTGTGGACAGTAATTCATAAAAAAGGGGAAATTTTGTCTGCCCACTGTGATTGTGTTGCTGGTCTTGCAGAGGCTTGTAGTCATGTTGGAGCCACTCTGGAGCCAGTGTGACTAACTCTAAGGCATATTGGATGCTTCCTAGCACATCCCTTAGTACTCCTGCCAAGATGTCTGAGGTGGATTATTCATTATGTCCTATAGAAAATCTTGACACAATGAAAGAAGACTTTGAAAATCACATTGAGCTAAGCAAGCCTTCCAAAGATGAGAAAGTTCAATTTTTAAATGCTCTATTTGATTTGGAAAGGAAAAGTGCAGTATTGATAATGTTCCAACCTTATTCCGATAAGATAGATCAATAATCAATAATAAAAAACCTTTAGAGGGAATATTAAAAAATATATATAAGGAAGAAAATGGGAAATTGTCTTTAAATCAATTAATTAGCCTGGGAAAAACAATAGATTGTAGTGTTGATGTAAATAAGGTATAAACCATTACAAGAAACAATCCCAAAGTAAAAGTTGGTTTTTACATAGGGCTGGCAGAATAACGGCTTTAAATTTTAAATCCGTCTGCCATACTAAAAAGAATAAAATAGAATATGTTTTTCTAATAAGATTAAATTTAAGTCTATTTATGCTTTATATGGTTGTAAACAAGAAAAAAGAGTAGTGAATAACTTTGTTTCAAATCATTTAAGATCGAAGCACAGAAACTTAAAAGTGTGGAATGTTGGGCTAATTGTAGAAACTAATAATCCAATTTTTGGAGCTAGTCCCAATCTTATGGTATCTTGTTGCAACAAGGGTTGTATCGAAATAAAGTGTCCATATTGTGTAAAAGATACAACAATAGAAGAAATCGTCAAATTAAAGAGATCTTTTTTGAAACTAAATAGCTCCAAAAATGTAAGTATGCAAGGTTTGCACTTAGATAATAAGCATGCTTATTATTATTATCTAGTACAGATGCAAATGGCTGTTACACATACAAAATATTGTTATTTTGTGGCTTGGACCAAACAGAATATTTTTTATGAAAAAATAAAATTCAACGATGAGTTTTGGGTTGAAAATAAAGCTTTATTATTTCACGAGAGAATTGTAATGCATGATCTGCTGGGTAAATATTTTACAACAAAATCAGGCATTGTGCAAGCGCAACTCGCAATTGTATCAGATGCCACACCGTCTTCATCAAAAGAAGTTATTAAAGAAAATGTAATGGTCCATGAAGAAGCTCTTTGGTGTACCTGTAAAAAGCCAGAGAGTGGACAAAAGATGGTGATGTGCAGTAACTATTTTTGTGAAATCAAGTGGTTCCACGTGACCTGTGTTAAACTAAAATCGGTACCAAAAAAATCTTGGTACTGTAAAAAATGTGGGACAGTTGATTTTATTAAAAAAATTAAGGATTTATTATTTATACTTTTGTATTTTCCTAAGAGTTTCTGAAATAAAACTGGTTATACATTTTATTTAAATTTATTACTTACAACTTACAATTAAATTTTATGAAGAATATAAATTACTTTCAATTACATAAGGACATATATTAACTAAAGCACAGCATACTGTAACAATCTTATCAATTGTTGTCACTTTATTTTTTATTTTTTTTAACATACTTATCGGTACAACATTTTCTAAAATATTGTATTTTTGCCTTAACTGGCTTATTACACGTTCAACATGTATTCTAACATTAGCCAATGAACGTGTTTCTTCTACATCTTTAAATCTCATTTGTTTTGTTATCTCTGGTTTAGCCCCTGTTAAAAATGCATTCTTCTTTTTCTTAGAATTATTTGACTTACACCAACGTTCTAAAATAATTGTTTTTTAATATTAACATGCAGCAAACATATGGTTTGTCTTTGTTCCCATTGCTTACAAAGTATAAATTAATTTATAATATTTGTATTACATCTGGCCCATATCTGTTGTTTACTCTTGGTATTATTAATACCTCTACTCGTTTTAGATATTAATTATAAATTCTATATAACACTAAATATCTATTTAGACTTGCAAGTATACTTTTGGCCTTTAGCTTCATTTTCTGCCCCTGATGCACATTACACTCAAGCTGGCCCCAAAAAGTAGTTATATCCGCTATAATTGTAAATATATTGACATAAGTTAATTCCTGAAACGACAGAATTGAACTTATTGCTTATTGCTACACGAAATGCTCGGCATTACCTTCAATCATTGTAGATTTATTACATCCGAAATCTCCAAAATCAACACATACCTAACATTCCCCGTAGGTTCTCAGGAATTACAGTTATAAATATCCCTATTATACTTAATGCCCGTACATGCATGGGCGTTATTCTGATTTATTTTGTGTATACGCTTGAGCCAGAAGAGAAAGTTCCTCAAACAATTCACATTCCCTTCTATAGAAACCACATTTGGGTTAGAATTTTGTCCAAAGAAAATTAAATATACATACATTGTAATATTGTAATTTCTTAGGAATGGTAAGGGGAAATTATATTAACATTGAATTAACTTGTTAAGAGTTTACAGAGTGTCCAAACATAATTTGGAGATGTTTAAGTAAGAAACGCATTCCTAATAAACAAAGTTAATTGTCACCTTGACTTAATCGAAAAAGAATTGCCAAATGAACCTCCGAGCAATTACTAATAGAGGGAGCGTGAAAACGAGTTTGTAGGCGATTGTTGTGTTAGCAACATCTGTAAAGGAAGTGAGGAAGCGGGCACAAGGGGGAAGGCAAACATCCTTCTTGTTCAGTGGCGTATCATTTATCTATAAAAACACACATTGTCCAAATATTTTAATTGTAAAAAAAAACTGAAAAATTTGCTAATTTTACTATTTTTAAAATGAATACCGTCTTATATGTGTCAAATGCAGGAAATGAAACAAAATCACTGTAAAGGTCTAATTTTTTCAATTGAAGAATAAAACCTTAAAATCAATTTTATTATAAATAAATACAGGAGTGACTAGTTTCGGCCTGTAATACAATAATATTTAATTATTATAATAGGTTGGTCACTTACGAATAACGTTAAATAGTATAAACCACAAAAATGGATCCATACTGTAGCTTACAGCATTATAGAATTAAAGCTGTGAAAATAAAGGAGCAGTGCAAACGTAACTAAAAATATGAAAACTGAGTACGGAATCTACAAGAGAAGAGGTGAGAATGAGCAATTACGAATGCATTTAAATTGCTCGGGATAACAAAGGAAGCTGATAATGTAGTGGTATACGAGCCCCTTCTCATTTCAGTTGGCCCACCTATTAATATTTTCTTTATATAACGACAATAAGAAAGTATTAAAGATTACATGCTTTTTTAAATCATAAATTAATTAACAATGCATTAATTTAGAATTATATTAGAACTAGAACTAAAAAACATCAATTTTTTTATTTATTTTTAAATTTATTAACACATGGAGCATTATTGCATTATTTCAACTTGAATTCAATGCGTTAGAAAATAAACCAAAATCGAAGGTAGTTTTGAAAAAATAACAAACAATAATGCAAATAACTGTCACAAGACAATTTAACCTCTTTTAAGCTAATTCTGTCTAATAAAATGGGT